ATAGATGTCATGTCCTTTTTTGTGCTCAGCTTTTGGGATTTAGAGAAATAAAATATTTTTTCTACCCGCAGGGAAAAAACAGGTCAAGTTGAACCAAGTCAAATATAAACAAAACAAAAAAAATCAGGAAAAATTGGCCTGGATCATAGAAATATAACAGATTGAGAAAACTACGTTTCATATTGAGTAAATTATTTTAGTTTATTAGCATGTTGACCATACTTTATATTACTTCACTCATGTTTCTGAATAATGGATGTGCTTTATTTCCCATTATTTTGCTAAGATAAGAAATATTCGAGACCAGATAGGATCGCAGCCTGCCCTGTCAAATGGAAGATCCTCACTTGCCCCTCCTGGGTGGGTGCCCACTCTCCCAGGTAGCTGCTCTGCCCTCCCTTTTGAGCTGCTTCTGTCTTCTGAGGTCCTCTCTGGCCTCCAGGTTCTTTTCCTTCCAATTTGTTCTAGATCTGGCTTCCTGAAACATAACCACATGACTTTACAGCCCAACCAATGAAATCTGGTCTCTCACCAGCATGTAAGATCTTCCACACTGTTCCAAACCTCATCTCTGCCTTTCTTTCCCCCACTCTCCTTTTTTGTACCCTAGACTCTGGATACTGGCACTACAGTCTACACCAAGCATGTTGAACTCATGGCCGGCGGGCTACATGCCTCGTTTATTTAACTTTCCTATCTCTTGATTTTCATATATTTTCCTCACTGTTTGAAATCTCCTCGATCCATTTCTGCTTTTCTAGTTCTTGCTTGAATCTACTCATTTCTCAAATGCCTACTTTTTTGAGCAACTTCCTCTGATCTGCTTCCTACCCACTTCACAGATTTTAAGCTAGAATTATTTTCATGTCATGAACATCCATAGCACATTTTCTGCTTTTGTAGCTTAAACTGGTTATTCGTGTATTTTTACTATTATCTGTGGCTAAATTCTAAATGTAACAATCAACAAAAACAAAAGGAAGAGCTTTGTTTTTGTTGATTGTTACATCTCTATGTCTTTCTTAGTGTCTGGCTTTAATGTTTGTATATAATAACTGGCTTATTGTGGAGTGGACAAATCAATCAATACTTAATGGCAGATATAAGAAAACTCTATGTTACTTTACCTAGTGAATTTTAACTTGTTTGATGTATGGTAGCACTAATGAGATTAGATACATTTCCAAGTTAAAGTCTGCTCTTCAATTATTGACAAGAGAGGCACAGTAGTTGCCAGGTGAAAGTGCCTGGAGTTTGTTTTTCATCTTCAGGAAGTTACCCCAGCATAACTTGTTTCCATAACTGTTGGGTTATAGCACTAAAACTATTCTCCAACAATTTAGACACTGTAGAAACTCTCAGAGTACTTGGCAATATCACAGGTAGAAAGAGAAAAAGCAATTGTTTGTCTAAACATTGCTGCCAGTAAAAAAAAAAAAAAAAGCAAAATAATGATCTTTTCACAAGGTATTTAGTGGATATAGTAGGCAAAGTAAACAAGATGATGAAGAAGGGTCTTATAGCATGTCTTGTGTTACATTTTCTGGGAAAGCAATTTAGGATGTTTAACCCTAAATTAAGACCAGTCCTTCATGGAAATGAAGTAAGCATTGAATCCAAGTCATGGGCCACATAATGAATAGAAAAGAGCCCGAAGTGTCTGGTCTCTTGTTTGTATTGTGAAATGGACTTTGCTATGTGCACTGCCAACTTTGTAAAACTGCTCTCTGGTTATCCTGGTTGTCTTTACTGACTTCACTATTTTAAGAATCTTTCTTTAGTATTTTACAGAATGATGAAGTTTGTTTTATATTCTATGCATTAACTTAGTAGCTATGCAGGACACATACATCATGTGTTCTGAGGTGCTTGAATAAGAAATGAGTGGAATGTGTGGGGAGTATGCTGGACAAGAATCTGGTGTATAATGGGCAAAATTCAGGCTGTGGGAGGGTGAGTCACAGGACTTACAGGAAAAATTCTATTGCAAAGATAATGGACCATTTGCTTCCTGAATGAGCCATTCAGAAGGAGCCCTTGCCAGATCTCTAAACTCCCCAATGAGATTTTGCAGATATTCCTATCGGAGTACTTGTTGGCATAGAAGACTTTGTTCGAATCAACCTTTCCAACTTTCAATCTATTAATAGCTTAGAAGGAGGATGCCGGGGGCCTTTTTGATCTGTAAAAGATATTGTTAAATTAGAACATGATTCTTTTTGTGTGTGTTGATAAAAACCAGGTATAATTTTTGTTTGAATATCAATTTTGGCTATAGTTTAAAAAGGAAACAACCTCTTCCCTTCTCTGAGTTTATTTCTTAGTGAGAGCTTTAAGAATTTATCTTCAGTGTGTGTTGTCACAACGTGTAATCAAACTTGAACTTTATAAGCTTAGTACCTTTGGACTTCTGCCCACACGCAGTTTATGTGCACGGTAAAACAAGACCCTGTACAGTTTCTTAATTGAAATAAAGGTTAGTTGCCATTTGGTTAATGTCCTTTTTTTTAAATAAAACAATATATTAGTCACCTGGAAATTTGGAATTCGAATGTGATAATATAAATGTTTCTGCCCTATTCAAGTGTTTCAAGCTGAATTAAAACAAATACTCCTAATATTTCTGCCTTCAGTAACTATCAGGGATGATTGATTATATCTGAACTGTATATTGATGGACTGGTAATTTTTTATACAGAGTAGTCAGCCTCCCTGAAGGCTATCGAAGGCACTCCACTTTATCGTGGTTGTCTTTTTGAAAGTTGCACAGAAGGTCCATATGAATGTTAATTATAGTCTCAGAATAAGCCAAAGCCCTTATTCCTTGGCATTGCATACACAGTGTGAAAATACACACTTTTGGCAAAATGGACAATAATAGATTCATTTCTTGCAAAGTGGGCATAAGCCAAAGCCTTGTAAATTTCACATTTTAACTCTCACACTTACTCTGTGCAGGGAAGTAAGATCTGGTTCCCAGAGTCCACACAGCCCGGTAGGGGAGACGAGAAGTATAGGCAACACGTACGACCAGGATCACCTTACACCAGTAGAATTGACCAAAGTGCCAGATGCCATGAGAAGATGTCCCTTTCTAGCTGGGAAGATCAAGGGAGGAGCTGAGAGTTGTGGATTTGAGCTGGATTTTGAGGGATCTGTAGGCAAAGACTAAGGGAAAAGATGACTGAAGTGGGGAACTGCTTCTTGGGCCAATGTCTGGTTTACAGAGGCTGGAGACAGGACACGCAGAGTGTGTGATGGGGAAGAAGGGGGAATCCCTTAGGTACGGCTGGCTGTATTCATCCTGCCTTCTCCCTCAGCTCTGCTCCTGGACTGGGGGAAATAGAGGTGGAAAGGTAGCCGTGATCTTACCCTGTAGTTTTCTATTCTCTTTACCTTCTCACTTGTCAATGTACGATGGTAAGAAGTTATGGAGAATAAGACTAGGAAAGAGGAATGGGGTGGAGGTAGGAAAACTGAAATGCAGTTTAGCACAGGGGGCTCTTTACCTCATTTTTCTTTTATTTTCCTGTTTTAGTATTCTCTCCTTTTCCAAAACTTGGCAGAATACATTATAGGAAAGAACAAGGAAAAAGAGGGATAGGGGAGTTTCAGTAGTTGACCACTCATATTGTTCTGCCTATAATTATACGGGATTAAAGAGCATAGATTGAGTAGTGTTTGCAGAAAATAAACAGATCTAATGCTGAGCATACAAAAATAATCTTGATGGACCCTAACCTTAGTTCTTCTATGTCATCATCATAGTCATCAGTTAAATTTTATTTAGGACCCACAAGACACATGGACTTGTCTTACAACATAGTAGAGATTAGAAATTTATTTATTTATTTATTTTTTTGTAGAGGTGGAGGGGATTTAGATCAAACATTTTCTGTCTTTTTTGGCAGGAAAATGGTGCTTAAAGGAACATTCACAGCAGAGGATGTTGGGTAGACATAAATCTTGCACTTTTATTGAGTCATAATCTTTCAGGATATGTGTGTATAGTTACTTTTTCCTTCTCCATAAGTAAAAAGAGAAAAAATCAGACAGTTAAAGAGTAAGCTAGAAAAATAATCAGACTGAGGTTGTTATTTTTAAAGCTGCCTTGTGAAGAAATGCACCTGCTAGAGAGGCTCGAAGGAAAAACTGCTGTCAAATTTTAGGACCTGAGAGTAACCGAGTTAGCTTCCACTCTGGATTGCTTGTCAGGTTTTTCTTCTCCTTTTTAAAAATCTTTATTGTTGAAAGTATTACATATGTATCCTTTCCCCCCGCCCATTGTCCCCTTCTAGCCCCACCCCAGCCACCGCCCCAGGCCTTCATCACCCTATTGTCTGTGTCCATGGGTCATGCATGTAAGCATACAAGGTCTTTGGTTGATCTCTTCCCACCCTTCTTCTTTTTTTCCTTGAAGTGAACCTATTTGATCTTCTCATAAAATATTGTTTCCTTGCCTTCTGAGAAACTATGTGAAGTTGAAAGCTGTTCTTTGATAGTATAATTAGCTTTCTGCTACAGGACTGTTCTAGGAGTTTGGGGACAGTTCTACTCTGTTAGGACTCATTAGAGGCTATTCGTGGGTCTATCAAGGCACTGGTATTGAACATGGATGTGCATGTGTGATGAAACCACTTCATACTTCCTGTTTTTAAAAACAGGTTTATATTGAATTGGAGGATTAAGTATATTTCTGGAAGAGATACTTGGCCCCGCTTAGAATGTATTGGTAGATAAATTGAGCATTTTCTTACTCCAAACTCTGAGTAAGATGTAAATGATGTATGTTGCTTATTGCTGAGGAATGCAATGGGTAGCAATGGGTATGTCTTTGAAATTACATAAGATTGAGCAAAGGAGGCAAAAAGCTGAGATACCCTCCCTCCTCAGAAGATAAATTGGAAGGAAGTTTCTGATTGGCCATAGGCAAGTCCCCCTGAGAAACTCATGAAAGTTCTGTGGAGATGCACTACATGACTGTATTCTCTCTTTTTTAGCTCTTGCCCCTCACTGCAATACAACAAGAGAAGGAAATGAAGGAGCCACTCCTGTAATTTACCAGATAAGCCCAGCAGGGTCAATAGAGTTCCCAGTAGAAAGCTGCAGGCATCTGAGGATAAGCCACTTCGAGCAGCTTTGACCTGAAAGCCAACCTAGAAGACGGATTCCATTTACAAGGTGAGTTAGGAGGGCGCCAGCTTAAAATCAAAAGCGGGGTTTAGACTAGGCATTGTTTAATAACAGCAAGAGATTAGCAAAACATTACCTAATCACAGGTAGATCAGAACTAAAAAACATAGTAATCCTGGTTAGGCTTAGCCATCTTATTAAAAAATTCTGCTGTAATTTTTTCAAGGCTAGGAAGTAGAAAAACCACCAACGGATTTGTTAACCATTTTCTACCTGCATTGTGGCAGCATGTGGAAATAAGACCCTCTCCTCCCCTTCTTGAAGAATGAACCTACACACCTAAGAATGCTTTAGTTATATACATAGATGCACACAAGCCCACATCATGCATACACTCATTCTTAAAATGCGTCTATTTTTATAATCTTCCACAGTGAACAGGTAGACAGTTGCTTGTTTTCTTTTTGCCCGTGAGACTGAAATAACGAATTTGATACCAGCAACACTGACTATGGGTACTCTAGGCTCCTTTGATATTTGCAGTTATTATTTTCAGAGCCACGTCACATATGCTGTTTAACATCTTAGGCTCAATGACTTCAGTCTCTACAGTTTGGATGCATCCCTCCCAGTTATACGAAGCTTTCTGGGAGCGTGTGCCCCCACAGCTCTTGAGGAGCTTTTGGAAGCTGTGTATCCTCTACTCAAACTCTTATTTTTTCTGGGCTGCAGGGCTGATGGTGGTGGTGGAGACAGTTCAGACGTCTGTAATTTGGGAAATGCTTCCCAGGTATTCTCCCATTCCTACCTCCCCTTGCATGGACTGGTCCCTCGTGGTAGGGCAGAAACCAAGGCTCGGTGATTTAGTGTGATTATTATTATGTGAGAAGCTTTCTGTTTATTACTGCATTATTTAAAATTACATTTAGAGCAGAGCTTGCAAATAAGTGGCCCATAGGGTAAATTTTAGACTATAATTTTTTTAACCTGTAAACATTTCTTTTTGAAAATTGAATTAATTGCCAACATTGCTGAACAGTCTGGAAACTTCACAGAGAATCAGATACCTGGCTTCTTTTGGAAAATTAAACATCTTGTCTTGTTACAATTGAAGTTTGCTAATCTTTATCATTCCTTAAGTATCTAACCCAACCAACCTTATAGATTTATGTTACCTTCCTGGCACCTGTAGGCCTTTGTGGTCAAGATTCCTGCTTTAGGGTGGAGGCGGGCAAAGGGAGAGAAAAGGAGGGACATCTGTAATACTGTCAACAACAACAACAAAATGATTCCTGCTTTACGCATCAATTTCTTCTCTCTTAATGTGAAGTCACTCCCATGTACTTCACACATAATGCTGTTAGTCTTTATTCTCTTTTGGTATTTTATTATTTTATGTGAAATGGATATACTTTAAGAATGCTGGCTTTCTGAAGGTAAGCTGACACCTGCCGGATTTGCCTGTGAAGAAGGAAGACTCTTCCAAAAGCAGATGGTCCATTGTTCTTAGTTGGGAAATCTGATTTGATAGTAACAGAGTATGAATCATTCTTTCCAGACCTTGAGGTTGTCATCTCAGAGTCTGAAATGTCATGACTAAGGCTTCCATTGCCTGACATGATTATTTTAGTCCTAGAAAGGTGAGGAAGATTCATTGAGTTGGCTTCTTTGTGAATGACACTTGTAGGGATTTAGAGTTCATTTCCTAGCCCTTTACTCATTCTGGACACCAGAGTGAGTCAGCAAGCAATCCACTGTGCCATTTACATATGCAGACTTTTGACATTGAGAAGTCTCTCCATCAGAATCAGATATATCTTCTCCTTCCCATTTTGATCACTGTGTATTATTGGGAACTGAACTACTTACAGTGATGTTCCTGTCAATTTGGTACTGAATCAAACTTTTATATAGTAACAAAGAGCATTAGTCATGAAAGCACTTCAAATTACAGGGTCCTTATGAGGCAAAGCATTTCTCTGTCTGCATTAGCTAAACTCAAACATTAACTATTTGATCATTGTTCACAAATGGGGGGAAACGGACTCCATCTCAGAACAGCAATTCTTATCCCAACAACCCATCAACTTCAAACAGCTAGTGGCTGTTACTTAAGCAGATTTCAGGCCTCAGGATATCCATTTTTAATGTTGAAGCAAACAAGAAAACAGGCCGGCTGGGTTGGATGGTAGTGGCTGTTACTTAAGCAGATTTGAAGCAAACAAGAAAACAGGCCGGCTGGGTTGGATGCTTATTTCAGTTTACTGTCCTTCTGGCTGCATTCCTTTGCCCTATCTCATGGAATCTCTTAGGTCAGTATTGCCTAGGATCCCTTGATACTTGACCACAAGCAAAGATGAAATGTACGTGAGTCCTTTGACTATCAGGTTTAAGTTCATGGAAATAAAGTAACTGGAAATTTGTTTCCACACATTTGCTGGGTTGTGACTTGACTGAGAAATTAAACTCTTCTTTAAAAGGAAAAAGCAGGTGATTGGTATCTCATTTCCTTGACGAAATGTGTTTATTTTTATTCTTTTGTCATAGGAATTAGTTTGTTGCATGTATACTCAGAGATGCTTTCAGAAAGCCTCTTTATCTTTTTTCCTCGGAGTGCCTGTTATCAGCTTCACATTCCATTTCACTTAACTGCCTGAGAAAGGTTAGACAGGACTGCAAAAATGGAACCAAAGTAGGGAGTGCTTGGGAGCCTTTGACACATAAGACAGAAATGTGGTGAGAAAGGAAAATTCAGAAAATCATCTCACTAGTCTGCAAGTATAACATGGTTCCACAAAAACTGAAGAGGAGAAAGAATATTGGACCCCAGCATGGCAAAGAGGCAGATCATGAGACATCTCCCCCAGGTGGTGGAGATGGGGAGAATATCCAAGGAGAACTAGCAATGCAGGAGCCATTTTACCTGTCCCTGCCTTCCTCCCTGGCCATTCCTCCTGCTCTGTCTCTCAGGTGTCTCTCTTCTAAGAGACACCCAATTCTCACAGCTGAAGGGCTGAGAGGGAGGTAGCAGGCCCAAAGCCGGCTCTTCTCTCCAGGAACGAAGAGTGAGGAGGCACTGAAGTTTCCTTCTCACCCAGTTGAAAAGAATGGGAATAAGGGACCAGGAGAGAGTGTCCAGACGTAAAGTGTCCAGAGTGTCTTTCTCAATCTGGTGAGTAGGATTTTAGAAAAATGAGTCACCTAAACCTCAGAAAATTTAGATTTGAAAAATAAGTACATATATAGTAAAAGTAGAAATGAAGAAGTAATTATGTGAAAAAAGGAGAATATTGTTAATATCAAGGGTTTCATATGTAAGTAGTAGGGGAAAGGGAAATTTTTTTCTTTTTTTGCTTACAAACACTTTTATTTTTATATTGAATTTATTGGAATGATTTGGTTAATAAAATTATATAGGTTTCAGGTGTACAATTCAATAATGCATCATCACCACCCCAAGTTAAGCCTCCTTCCATCACCATTTATCCCTCCTTTACTCTCTCCTACCTCCCCCTTACTCCCCTTTCTCTCTGGTAATCACCATACTGTTATCTGTTCTATGAGTTATTGTTTTTTAATCCCTTCACCTTTTTCACCCAGCCCTCCAACTCCCCTCCCCTCTGACAGCTGTTAGTCTGTTCTGTGTATATATGAGTCTGTTTCTATTTTGTTAGTTACTTTATTTTGTTCATAATATTCCACATATAAGTGAAATCATATGGTACCTGTCTTTCTCTGACTAGCTTTTTTCACTTAGCATAATACTCTCCAGGTCCATCCTACCTTTTTATGGCTGAATAATATTCCATTGTGTAAATGTACCACAGCTTTTTATCCACTCATTTAATGATGGTCACTTAGGTTGCTTCCATATCTTGGCTATCATAAATAACACTGCAAGAGTTTTTGTTTTTAATTTTTTTTTAATTTTTCAATGTTTTTGTTTTTCTTACTATTTAAAAATTTAGAAAAATTTCAAATTTATACACAAGTAAAGAGAATAGTATGGTGAGCTCCCATATGCACACACCCAGATTCATTTATCCCTTTCCTCTTTTATTCTGAAGTCCCTAGACATAGACATGTTATATCCAACATACATGCTTCAGTATGCATCTGTTAATATGAACATTTTTCTACAAAACTATAATGGCCATTGTCACACCAAACAATTGGATGCTAATTCTTTGATATCACTTACTACCTATTCCATATTTCTCAAAATTGTCTTTTTATAGTTGGTTTAGTTACATCAGATCCAAAGTACATACATTTCATTTGGCTATTGAGCCTCTTAAGTCTCTTTTATCTGGTATGTTCCCCCCTTCCCAAGTCATTTACTTAAAGAAATCAAGCCACATGTGCAATAGAACGATCCACGTGCTGCATTTGTCCGATTGTTACTTAACCTTTTTCTCTGTCACCCAGATTATTAGAAACTGGAAGTTAGATTTAGAGGCTTGATTAGATTCAGATTCTACTTTCTGACAAGAATTCTGCTTCCATGGTGGAGTGTACTTCATTTAATATCACCCCAGGAGGCCTATATGGTCTGGTTGCCCCACTTTTAGTGATTCGAAGATTCAACAACAGAATAGCTTCAGGGAATAATATCCTGATCTATTGTGAAGTTTCCCCCATCAATTTTTTTTCAACCTATGATTTTGTTCTTTAATAATCATTGTCTGAATACATTATTTCATTAGGGATTATAAAACTGGTGATTTCTCCAACCCCTACCTCACCCCATCCTATCAGTCTTTCTGCATTTATCAGCTGGAATTCTTTTGTAAGGCACAGTGCCTTATCAACTAGCATTTGGTGACCTGAAATACAGTTCATGTAGGAAAGGCAGGGCAAGTGTTTACTACTTTGCTTTGAGTAGACCGTTTCAGAGATGGTTCTTCAGTTTCTTCAAAAGGTGATCAAAGATTTTTTTTTTTTTTTGCTGTTTTAGGGGGACAGTTCCTCTTTTCCTTGAGTGTTATTGTAAATTCATAAATTTTAAAAATATTTATTATGTTTTAATCAGTTGAAGTGATTTTGTT